AAGTATAAGAAGATACCTCGTGCTTATTAACATAAGTTATTCCTGTGTTGAACCAAGAGTTCTTTCGTAATTCTTAATTTTTATAATATCTTATAATTATTCATCACTCATCGAAAGTTTCAACGTACAAGAAGCACGAATACAAAAAATAAAGGAATGTAATATGTGTTGTAATTATTAGATTGTTTATTCATTTTTAAGAAATTGAAAAAAAAAAATAAGAATCGACAGAATATACATATATATAATAAATAATACATATACTTATATATAAAAATATATAAAATATCCAAAATAAAATATTTATTACAATATTTATAATAATGAAACAGATCTCCAAGGTTCCATTTCCTTAATTATGTTTATAAAAGCATAGAATCGCATAAATATTAATAATATCATAGATTTCTTTAAATGAAGAATTATAAAGAGCAAAAAAGTTTTTAGTGAATTTTAAAACCTTTTTATTTGTTTATTTTTTGAAAGTATATCTCGATTATTAAGACGCATTTCTAAAATGAAAATTATGCAAAATTTAGGCATAGAAAAAATCTTATCGTAGCATACAATATCTACAATATTTACACTAAATTTCGCCATTTGTATAATAGTTACAACGAATTTTACTTTTTTAAAGAATGCTTTCCACTCTCTTCAGATCTCTGTTTCCATTTACCATTCCGCAAAAAAGCAAACACATGAAGTAACAATAGCATACATCATCTGCGTTTATCTTGGCATTCTGTCTATGAATGCTCTTTAATAACTGGTTTTTAATATCCTACTCGTCATAGTCTTTGATCATGTAGATTTTCAGATAACCCGTGTTGTTTTCATGAAATCATCTTCGAGAATTCCGGGTAATTTGCATCTTCGGTTGCAACCAATATGTTTCCGTAGATACCAGTTTCTTTGAAATTGACGTAATCTTTATACGATGAAAGTGTTCTAATCATTTGGAATCTTTTACATAAATTGAGTACAATATAATAAATTTCTTTTTAATAAATTCAAATTCAATAACAACAATTGTTAATAAAATTATGTATAGATAATTATTTATTTGCAACGCTACTAATTTTATCTCATAATCACTGTGTCTTGTTCAATAAAAATCACAATTCAGGAATCAGATCATAAATAAATTAATTGATTAATAACTAAAATATATTTATATGGAATATATTCAATAAATAAACAAATTTAAATGTAATTGAACAGCTAAACTGTTTTAAATAAAACTTGCATTATTTATAAAATAGTTGTTAAATATACAAATATAAAAAAGCATCGTTGAACATGTACAAGCATAATATTAAATATATTATAAAAAAGCATCATTAGATATTGTATTTAAAAAACGAATAATAAATTGATGATTCCTTTGAAATTGAAACTTACGTAGTTAAATATTTTATCATTAATGAAAATGGATTCTTACAGCCGTCGCGTAGTTTTGTTGTTTCTAATAAATACAAATACAGATTCGCGAAGATTTTAATCATTTGACTGTTAATTAGAATTTATTAATAAAATATAAATAAAATAAATGAAGAAAATATAATGATATAAATATACAAAAGTACAATGATATAAATAATCTAATATTACATTAATGAATAATTTTTATTATGAATTTAAATTTTTGTAGATAATTCTGTAATGTAATAATCCTTCTAAAGTAATATAACTTTAAATAAAACAAAACGAATAAATAAGTATGAAATAAATAAATAAATATGAACAATTGAAACATTGGAATTTCACACCAATGAAAACAAATTTTGTATGATTTTTATGTAATAATGAAATAATTTTATATTTCTAGCGTGTTTACTTGAACAAAATCAATATGACTACAAACGCGCAACAAGAAAGAAAGAAAATATAAAAATATTTAAATTATTAAATTAAATTCTCTGAAATAATGATATTGTAATGTATAAAGAAAAATATTGTTGATTTCAAAATACCGAAAAAAATATTGTTATTCCTATTACTTTTAATTCTTCTTTCCCAATAAATTGATTATATAAGAAATTATGAATTTATGTAAAACATTATATTTTCTTTTTTGCATGAAATTTATTATAAGTATCTTTAATGAATTTTTGAAATCAAAAAGATGTTTTCTGTATTTTTTTTTCTCTCTTAAAATAAATGACGTTTTACGAAACGTTCATCATCATCGAGAATCTGTCTGCCTACACGTATTGCTCGAAGGAAACACAAGACCAATCGTAAGAGTCGTAGCAAGCCCACCACTCGAGATATCGTTTTGAATTAATTAATGCAACTGTTAAGATCGTTGCACCAGTGAAACAATGCTAGGTATGGTGAAAAAATGCCGCGAAATCTTTGTTCAGCTGGAAGGCTACAGTGTAAAGATGGGTCAACCTTTCGCCTTGCGATTATGTAAGACCTCGGACTGACTGACCTTTAGGTTCGTTCATGGCATGCGGCATTTACGTAATTTACCGATTACGATGTATTAGAATCTTCTGTGCCTAGAAAATAGTTCTCCTTCCCGTTCTAATATTTTTAAGCTACGCTATATATTCGCCTTGTTACCCCTTTTACTTATCTTTAACGCGTTTAGTCATCCTGTTTTGACGTCACTACCCTAATCTTTTAATAAATCGTGTATTAAAATGCAGCTTAATTCTATGTTTTCGAGATCATTTGAAAAAGAAGTTCAATTTTTTATAACAATGTACTCAATTTACAAATTGAATATATAATGCCCAAAATGTGTTTTATGAGCAATGAAGAGTCATAATAAGATATAAGTTACAACAGCCTCAGCGATTCGCTTATCCTCCACCTCGCATTTTCGCAATACCTGTTAATGAATATCACAAGTATGTTTCCATATTTGTTGTTTTTAAGAACTTTCCTTTGATATTAATTTGACAGATCCGAAGAGATAATTACGTGATATTTTGATATGCGTCACGTTTTTATTTACACACATGTATATTGTTACGTATTACATGTGTATTATTTGTGTACATTATTACACATATGTTTCTCCAATTCTTATTGATTAGATTTTAAGTTCTTAATTGTAATAAAATTTTTGTTATAAAAAGCGAACAAAATATTTATATTTTTCAAAGAATGCTATAAATTAATATAGTTTAAACTTAAACGAGTAAAGAATGTAATCTATAACTACTAAAATTATTTATAAATGAAGAAATATAGATTTTTAAATTACAACTTACAGGTATTTGTTACAGTGAAAAATAAAATTTAATTAACTCTAAATACTTTTTTATAAAATATTCATTAATCAAATCTATTCATGCTCTGTCTTCAACAAAAAACTTCATAACTAGCGACATCTGGAAACATTGTATTTAACATGTAATAATAATGTGACATGCATTTAATAGCTAATTTATGATTTTAAAAAGATTATTAAAAATTATAAGTATAAAACTTATATAGAAAACTTTAATATTGAAGTTTTGCAAAACTTTATTTTTAATTATTTCAATACCACTTTCATAAAAGAGAAAACAATGTTAGAGCAAACAGTGCAAGCTTTGACATCAAGTAGAGTTGTATTAGCCAGTGGATCTCCTAGACGATATGAAATAATGAAACAATTGGTAACTTTTTTTATAACACATAGAAACATTATTGTAATATTAGAATATCTCTAATTAAAACCATAGTAATAATAATAACCTATCCGATAAAACAAATTTTTCATTAGTCTTAACATATATCATTGAAGAAATATTAATACAATTATTAATTTGTAATAATGTTGTAGTAGAATAGTACATAGACACGTTTACAAATATATTTTTAATTAAGGATTACTTATTTATTTATATATCAGGGCATAAATATAGAAGTAGTATCATCAATGTACGATGAAAATTTAGATAGATCAACGTATAAAAATTCTGGAGAATATGTACAAGACTTAGCAAAATACAAAGTACAAGAAGTATATAATAGATTAAAGGAAGATGCTATATCTCCTTCTTTAATTATTGGTGCAGACACTATGGTTACAATGGGTAATATCATTTATGGCAAACCAAAGAATAATTCACATGCATTTGAAATGTTATCAAGGTAAAGAAATTACCTTCTGCTTTTGAATGTTAATCTTAATAATAATCTTAAGTTAAAATATACTTTTAGCTTAGCAAATAAGGAACATGTGGTTTATACTGGAGTATGTCTAAAGACACCAAAGAAAGAAGTAAATTTTTATGAGTCTACAAAAGTAAAATTTGGTGATATATCAGAAGAACAAATATGGACGTATATAAAATCAGGGGAATCTTTGTAAGTATATTTGACTTTCTTATAAAATAAAAACCTTATAATAATATGAAATTATCATTACTAACGATTTCCTGATTTCAGAGATAAAGCTGGAGGATATGGTATACAAGGTCTTGGTGCTTGCTTAATTGAAAAAGTAGATGGCGATTTTTATACAGTAATGGGGTTGCCATTGTATTCAATGACAAAGCAACTAAATGAAATGTTTAGTAATAACTAATGTAAGAAAATATAGTTAATGAATTAAAACTAATTTATTTTGTAATAAATGTTTAAAAAGATAGTTTGTGAATTTCATATCTTCTTTCATTCATTTTCTTAATTACATTAATTTTTGTATTAAATGATTCCTAAAATCTTATCTGCAATAGTATCTGATTTTTTATAATATAAAAATTTCACATATGATTTATGTAAAATGTCGAATAAATTAAATGAAGATTAATTTTATCATACGATTTAGTTTCGTATTGCCAACATTTAAAATTGAAGATATTTCCTCAAAGAACTAATTCTTACACAATTTTGTTTCTTTGTGTAACATTTTTCGGCCTTCATATTTAAAATTGCATTGAATTTATCAAAAATCAATTAGATCTGCATTCCTTTCATGGAATTTTTTCCATCAATATGTTATACTTGTAACGTTATTTAAATCATACGTAGAATGGCGCGTTGCCATTCTTACCAATAAGTACCGACTATAAGTGGAACCGCATATATGTACTTGGTTGTTTCTTTGCTTTTGACACCTCGATTGCTAGACCGGTATTGGTAGTTTTGTAATGAGTTCTTTGCTTTTAAGGTAGAATTTAGAGCAGGATAAATTGTTTTTTTCGTAGCCTTCTTGTGAATTTGTATTAAAAAATGGAAGACGTTCTTGAAGAAGTTGTTTCCTCTGATGATTTAAAGGTACATTTTTTTGAAATGAAAATAATTTTTATTTGTCAGATTGTTCATGTTTTAATTGGATATATATATATGGAGTTATCATACAAAATATTTTTAAATATTAGATTATCTAGTTTGGAGATAAAGTTTCTATTATACTGTAGTACTGAATATATCTATGCAACAGTAGAGGTTATGTAGCTTTAATTTGCTTTTAATTCTTGTTTTTATCTATTTTTTTTCTTTTTCTTTAAGGAATTTTGTAATCATGTCAATACATAATTTTAATGTCAATATTTTTCTTTGAAATTTGTAATAAATCTATATAAAGTTCTAATTGAAACAAAATGATGACATCATTCATTGATTACTCACATTTTAGCTACATACAAAATGTTACAACATATGTTGAAATATTAAAGAAATGAATTATCTTTTTGTTTCAGAAATTTGAACGTATATATAATGAGCAATTACGTTCATCTGTTATAACACAAAAAGCACAATTTGAATATGCGTGGTGTCTTGTTAGAAGCAAATATCCTGCAGACATCAGAAAAGGAATAATGTTATTCGAAGATTTATATTGCAATCATAGTGATAGTGAGAAACGAGATTGTCTTTATTATTTAGCTATTGGAAATGCTAGAATAAAAGTATAGTTTTTATGACGTTTTAAAATAGTTTTAAAATAGTTTTTAAAATAAACAAATAAACATTGTTTAATTAATATTTATTTCTTTTTATAGGAATACACGAAAGCTTTAAATTATGTCAGGTCATTTCTTCAAATTGAACCTGGAAATCAACAAGTACAACAGCTGGAAAGATTGATCAAGAAAAAGATGGAGAAAGGTTTTTTTTTTATAAATTATTATTGGTTTAGACAAGTAAACTTATCATTCATTTTGATTTGAGATTTTATGTTTTTGTAGTTTGCATGCAATGAATTGATCATTTTATTTTTTATTACTTTCTGGAATAATAATATTTCATTTAAAGTTTATTAATCAATAATATTTCAATTAAAGTTTATTAATCAATTAATTTAACATACTATGTCTTTAAATAATTTACATATATTTTGAGTTAAAAAGTCTGCATATTATAAACATGATAATTTCATTATGCGTACTAAAAAAAAAGTACAAATATTTTATATCTGCATATACATATTATTTACATTATGTAATAGAAGAATTGTGTTTTGCATATTTTTAATTTGAATAGTGCTACATTAATGTCAATGTAAATTTATGGTTGTGAATCAGAATGTACCTTGTACTTCTTATCTAAAATGATAGTATTTATCATTTAATTATCAAATAAGTCTTTTTAGAATTTTTATGGAAATACTAATTTTATATTATTAATTTTTCCTATTCTTTTTGAATGTATGGTGTAATGTTTTACACGTTTAATAAAAATAGTATTATACAAAAAATCTTTTTAATACCTTTACAGTATTTTTTTTTCGTATGATATATATGAATATTTTTCATAAATATATATTTTTTTCATTATATGAATTTAACACTACTGAAATAAATTTTTAAGCTATTGTAAGGATTATTTTTTTTTTTACAGAAGGTCTTTATGGTATGGCCATTGCAGGAGGAGTTATTATTGGTATTGCAAGTATTCTGGGCCTCAGCTTTGCTATGGTCAAAAGAAACTAAATAATTCATGTGGAAAAACTTATGATTTTTGTGTGATGCGAAACAGTTACTTTGTACAACGTGTTATACACAATTTGTTAATTTAAATAACCAAAGATTTTGTCCAAAAAAGGAGAGAAAACGAAACAGATAGTCATTTTATGCAAATTAAGTAAACTGCGATGCGATTCGTAATGTAGAATGTCAAATTTATTTTTACAAATAACATAAATAATGCGTCATGCGAACAATTTATAGCAATAAATATTGCTTGTGTCAATATGTGTATTATTTTTTAAACTTTCGCAATATGAATTGCTTTCGCTCATGTATTAAAAAATCATATGTACTTTCTTTTTAAATTGCAAAAAATAATTTTTTAATAATATATTACATTAATTTTTAAAAGAAAGACATTCCGGATTCGTATTTTGCTGTTTAATCATTTATATATATATATAGTGCCTTGCTTAATTTAAATCTACGTATGTTTCTTTCAACACCTCAGTACATATAAACATAGCTTTTGTATATAAAAATAAAAATATTGTATCATCCTATTTATGTGTATTGTTACTTACTTATGATAATGAAATAAATGTGTGTACTTATGTCAACTAATTTTTATTTTATAACTATTTAAATATACTTTGCATAATCAAAATATTTTCATATACAAGGAACAAAAAAAAAGTTAATATATTAACTTACCACTATATATATATTTATTAATAAATATAATAGATTTAAAGCAAATCAGTTTTATCTTTTAATGACTGAATTTCGTTTTAAGAGGAAATAAATAATAAATCAAAATAACAGATAATAAAGAAAAGAGGAGAAAGATTGAAAGGTGAATAGATATTAAAGATAAAATCATACGGATTGTCTTTTTATATATAGATTTATTGATGACTTCTTAATATCCGTTGATAAAGTTGTTTATGTACAAAATAACGCTGGAGTATTCCTAAATATTATTATATTTAGTGACCTATGTAATGGCCAGGGACTCGCTAAAACCACTTTCTCCCCGTTCGATTTTACAAGTTTACGCGTTCGCTTAGTTTTTACGCCAAAATACAGAGCGCCGCTACTATTTCGCTTGAGCACCTCCGCGTTTCCCTCGGCCTCCTCTCTGTTTTGTCTCTTCCGACATATATATTTACATGTTCGACTATATCAGCCGCCACAAGGGTGGTGAAGAGGAAGCTGCTGGAACTGGGATTGCACTCATGTTTTTATTATATACTTTAATAGAGATTCAATAAGTGGGAGAAAATTGTATCGTATAGGCGATGAATAATTTTTACGTACTATTCTCGGAAGTGTATTTACATACGGAGTTGAGAGGACTCTGATTGCAGCCCACGGAAGCTTATCAATGTAAATACAAGTATAAAAAGTGAATATCGAAGATTAATTAAAATTATCATATAAAATAGCCTTTTGTTCCAGATTTTGTACTAGTTACGATTAATTTAATTCTATTAATATTCACTGACCATCAATATAATAAAACGAAGAAGTATGGTTTATTTATTTGGAACTTTCACTTTAACCCTTTAACTATACATATGAATAAAATAATTTATCCTTCGTATTCAACATATTGTCCATAGAATATATTTAAATTTATATCATTATGTAATATTATATAATTTTTAATATATTGAAAAAAAAAATCAGTTTTAGTGATTTTTTCCCAAAAATAAGTCAAAGGGTTATGTGGCAGTGTAAACGATCGAAACGATTAGTTGGCTGTGTGAGAGTGAAATAAATGTACACCAGACGAGAATATACAAAATTAAAGTGCTATCCGTGGGTTATACCAATGGTCCTCGAAATGTGATCTTCTATCAGTTTTGCAACGACAAAACTGCAGAAGGCAACCGCCATCTTTCGAGGATCCAGGATGCCTCAATGTCACTTAGTATAGGAATTAATTATTCAAATAGAATTAGCAGCTTGAAAATACTTTAAGCAGTTTTTTTTTTTTTTTTTTTTTAAGGATGCATATTGCTTTCTCAATAAGGCTCCGCTATGCTTTACACGAATGTACAGTGTGTCCGCGTGCATATTGGCTTTCGTTTGCCGGCTGATCCTCTGATTCAAAATGCGTTTCCTCGCCTTCCCTCCCACGCTGACAGCTTCGTGAAGCCTCGTGAGTCCTTTAGTCTTTTTTGTTTGAAATTGGAAACGATTCAGAGTGTACGAGGTCGAAGAATTGGGATGGACATCGAAGTCAGCCGCTACTGACAAACTAGCGAGAGTTCATTCTTGTTCGAGTGTTTACCACATGATGATTTGTTTCATTAATTATGGGATTATCAAATGCTATCTCTGTGTGTAAAAAGTATTTGCAAATATTCGTATGAAGAAGTTTTGAAAAAATAGTGGCAAATATTGTTAAAATTATTAGGAGAGAAAAGGAATTTGATATTTGGTGAGAATATTGTTGTGAGCTTTTAAAAATTGCCAGTACAAAATGCATTGACATAATCCCATATAATGTTTTAAGGTTTTTTAGAACTTTCACAATTTAATATTGCAACACCATACAGTCATACACAACTTAGTGTTTTTTCAATTTAAATTTGAACTATTAGATGTAGAAAAATATTTTGTGCTTTTAGTTTTATGCTTTGTTTCCTTATTTCAGATTTAGAAATTTTATAAAAATATTGATGCTCAAAATGTTGTACGTACAACAGCAGACAATAAAGTACGTAGCTAATATTTTCCTTTTATGTTTTAAATAAAAATGTTGCTACAACTGTTAAAATTATTTGTCCTATTTTCTAAAAACAATTTAATTTAATCTCGAATACAATCGAATTTTTTAAGCAAAATTCTAACAATGAAGTCCACTAGAAATGTTCGTACCAGA